CAGGAGCTCCTCAGTTGCTCATAGCAAATCCCACCTTGGAGTTTACAAAGACTTATGGGTAGAAAAGCCACACAAAGTAATTTACTATACCACAATCACCCAAAGGAGCTCTGGTAATGCTATGGTTAAAGCATTCAGCTGCTACCAAAAGCTCAGTGGTTCAAATCCACCAGCCAGTCTGCAGGAGAAGGATGAGGCTTTTCACTTCCATAAAGATTTATAGCCCTGAGGCAGTTCTTCTCTGCCATATCTGGTCAGTATGAGTCAGAATCAACTCGATGGCAGTGGGTTTGGTTTGGTTTTTGGTTGATTACCCAACTTGTGTATGCTATCTCTTTCTTGCTGGAACTCTCTGACAGATTTAAATTATCTTAATTTGAGCATTTGACGTCAATATATATTGATACTTTTGTAAGTCAACAAACATTCTTCCTTTTTGTTGTTTACTACTTTTATTACAGAGCCTTGAATATAGAACACTGACTTGAGATTCAGAAGAGCTGAATTTAGTCTAGGGCCTTGTGTTCCTCATTTGTAAAGCAAAGGCTATCTAGTTCCACTCTCTTCAGGAACTCCTTTCTAGCTCTTAATATTCTATAGGTGTCATTGTGTTACAGAAAGGTATGTTTTTACTGTCTATTCTTGATACAGTTCATATATTTTACTTTAATTTTTTCCACAAATATAATAAAAGTCTAATTGCCTTAAAATTAAAAAAAAAAAAAACAGCAGGTTAGTAATTTTTCTCAATTATTGTAGAAAGCTATGTGATTATTTTATATATTGCACAGGAAAGAAGACATTTTCTTGTTAAAAATGTTGGTATTTTAAAAAGTTGTTATAAAAACCAAGAATCAAACCCGTTGTCAGGGAGTTGATTCTGACTGTGCTGTTAACAAGAATGTGAAAACTGTAGTCTCCAAAGTTGAAATCAAAACTCATTTTTAAGGCAGTACCTCTAGCTCCTTGACTTATTTAGTAATTAATATTAGTATAGATTTATAATTTTCTTTTGATTTGTAGCTAAAGTTATGCTTGTGGGTAGCTTCTGGTTTATTTTCAGGGAATCCTGTTTAATTTTGGTGTAAATAGTAAAGTCTTTAATGAAGCTACCCACCATCACTGAGGGTAAATAAATTGCTAAATGTATGAAATTTCCATGGTTGCCATTGGTTAAATGATGGCTTCCTCTGACCAAAGATTAAATTTTTTTTTGCTTACAGGGTGCAATATGTGACTTTTGTGAAGCTTGGGTTTGCCATGGAAGGAAATGTCTCAGCACACATGCCTGTGCCTGTCCTCTTACAGATGCCGAGTGTGTTGAGTGTGAACGAGGGGTATGGGACCATGGTGAGTTATTAGACAGAAGCAGTGAACTCAGCCACTTTATTTTTGTTATAAATGAAGGCTGACTTTTAAACATTATGAATGCTTTTGTTAAAAATTTTTTTCAGGATTATGTTTGCTCTTAATCCTAACTTCTGGTATCCTTGTTTGATTTGGCTATCAGTTTATTTGAAAAAGGATTTATACAGCAATAGTAGTCCTTCCTAGTATTGCTAACCATAGGAAGGAGAGAGGGAAGTAATATGGGAGCAAGTGGTTTCTTTGAGAGTCATGATTACTATGTAAGTAGCCAGGAGGTAATGGGAATTTACTTTTTTTTATGGTTTTATACTTGACCATTTTCATTTTAACTTTTACCAGAACAAAAACTGCTGTGCCTCTGAACTCATTTTTTCCAAGCAGTTCTACAGATAATGAATTTTTTTAAAAATAAAAGTTTATCATATTTATTTATATTTGTGTTTTTCTGTTTTTTCAATCCAATAGGTGGCAGAATATTCAGTTGTTCTTTTTGCCATAACTTTCTCTGTGAAGATGATCAATTTGAGCATCAAGCCAGCTGCCAGGTTTTAGAGGCAGAAACATTTAAATGTAAGTTTTTAGTTTCTTAGTAATAAAAGTTTCAAACTTAATGCGGAAGGTGCCTACCTAGTTTTTCATGTAGCCACTTACGAAATGTAATTTAAATCCTTATCTATTATTCTCGCTAGGAAAAATTCAGAACATACAGTGTTGATTCTCAACAAGGGTGCCAGTGTCATTTTGGTTGAGCCAATTTTTACTTTTATGGGATTGACCAGACTTTGTAGGATTTGTAGAATTCCTGGTCTTGAATGCTAAATGTCATTTTAACTTCCCAGTTTTTTAACAACCAAACCCTTCCTCCCTTTCCTCCTCCCTTCATAAATGTTTCCAGAGCACCCCAGGCAAGTGACATTACCCCCAGTTGGCTCCTTGTGGTTGGTTCCAATGATTTCTTAAATAGCAATGTGTATCAGAAACACCCATGAAAGGGTTTTTTTTTTTTTAATATAAATTTATATACAAATTTGTGTGTGTGTATGTGTATACATATAAGTGTGTGTGTGTATACACATTTAACTTTTACCAGAACATACGTTTATATGTATAAACATATATATATTTATATATATCCAGATGTTCAGATTGCACTCCTGGAGATGCTGCATTTAAATCTGTGGTGGTGGTGGTGGTGGTTGTTGTTGTTATGTGCCGTCGAGTCGGCCCTGACTCATAGCGACACCTCCTTGGGTTTTCGAGGCAGTATCACTACGGAAGTAGGATTGCCCAACCTTCCTTCCGAGAAGTGGCTGGTGGGTTTGAACCGACAGCCGTGTGGTTAGCAGGCAAGTGTCTTAGCTACTATGCTAAAATCTGTGGTAGGTACTAGGTATCAGTGTTTAATCTTTACAGATAATTCTCATCTATCTCCCAGGTGAGATCCAGTGCTGTTGACAGGGCCAATGGTATCATAATTATAAACAGATAGCATTTTATTGCTACTGTGTTGATTCTCAGAAGATCAAGTTTTATATTCAACCATTACTTGAATTCTGCTTATTAACTGTATTAATCTTGAGCAGATTCCTGACTTTTTCTAAACCTCACTTTTCTTATCTATAAGAAAATGCTAATCTTTTCCCTAAAGGAGTAATTTAAATAATATCTATAAAGCATCTAGTGTGATACTTGGCACTTAAACCAAACTCATTGCTGTCCAGTGGATTCCTGTCCTACTCATAGCAAACCTATAGGACAGAGGAGAACAGCCCCCATAGGGTTTTCAAGGCTGTAAATCTTTACAGGGAACAGTTTGGTGGGTTCAAACTGAATTTTTTTGTTAGTGGCCTGAGTGCCTAACTACTGTACCACCAGGGTTCCTCCACCTGGCACTTAGAGAAAAACCTTATTAAATAGTGGATATCATTAATGGAAAAAGACAACTTCTCCACATAGTCCTTGTGTTTAATTTGATTCTTGTTCTTGTATGAAATCTGTATGCTCATCTATAAGTTTAAAGTTGACTAAATCATCAGTCTGCTAAGTATATATAATTCTTACAATGTTTGTATAGAAATTCTCCAAGATTGTAGGAGAGTCTGAAACTGTATAGCATTTCATAAAATTCTGTAGAATGTGTATTGTGTAGAATTCTCTAGGGCATAGGAGCCTAGCATGTTTTATAATATTGGAATCTAAGAGGCAACTGTTGAGTGGTAAGGCTATACTTCCATTAAGAGCTTTTTGTGATTCCACAAAAGGCACAGAAAAATACAAAGACTGAATAATCAACTGCATTTTAAGATGAATCTATTATCACTATGTCACTGCTAACATTCTTGTGGCAGAATCACAGGATCCTTGCTGTAGTTTATCCTCTTACCTTTTTTTTTTTTTTTTTTAATCTCTCTTGGGCATTTTTCTTTCACCAAATTGTTAGGTGCTTGGAATGTTTTCTCTGGTATAATGGCCTAATCACATATGCCTCACAGGTATATAGTGTGTTTCCACCTCCTAATTTGTTTCATTTTGTAATTTATGGACTTGACCTTATGTCAAGTATGGATTGGGAGATTTAGAAATTTTTTGAAATACCATTTACCTGCATAATCACTGAGAACACTGTTCTAAGGAAAACAACAACAACAACAAAAAAAACCCTCACATGTTAGTGCCCTGCTAATGTCTTTTAAAGTGATTGAAATGACCCGGCGACTTTTAATTTAAAATATCTTGTCGTCAGCAGGCACCTTCCACCTTCCACCTATTTTCTTATAAAATATGCGGAAGACATAAAAATAGATTTAAAGGAAAAATCCACATTCTGAAACTAGGAAAGTCATATTTTCTCAATCTGCAAGAAATACATTCTTTATTCAAGTCTAATTGAAAGTTTTTAACTTTTGAGAAGAGAAAACCTGGGCATTAAAGTAGAGTGCATTTGTGTGGTTGGGGTAATTATGGGAAGAAGACTGAGACTGCCACTTTACATCCTAGGTATGGATATGTGCCTGGATGTATGTTTAAAAATGACATTTAGAGAAGTTTGTCTAGATAAATCCTTTTATTTTGCTTGAGGATGAAGGAAGGCTGGGCCTAAAAACTCTGGGCATGTCTTAAAGTAGGAGTGATTTAGATTTGAGAGTTCTCCCCACAGGCCAAAAGAATGGTGCTATTAGGTATAATCATATATGCCTAAGATACAGCAAATACTCAGTTTTTAACTTTTATTATTAGTATGGAGGACAGATAATACAGATCCAGCTGAATTATTGGCATTACTGTGGGAGAAAGCAGAACAGTTGCACAGAAGCAATAATTATTCACATCATTGAAAAGAAAATAATATCTTTGAGGTTTTAAAACTAAAAACCTTATCTATTCTGATTGAAAGGGCTCCCCGTGAACCTTATAAGCTGGAAGAAAAGAAAGCCTGAACTAGACACATCTGGTCAAATGTTTTAATTATTAGGGTAGAACTACTTTTATTTTCCTTTTTACTTTTTCAAGCTCTTGAAGTGGATTGAAAGGCAGTGATTTATATTCAGATCTTATCAGGGTAATGTATAATTTGTTTCCTCTTTATTTTTGGTACTTTTTTTCCTTCCATATTTTCACACAGGCTTCTCTAATATATTTGCATTTAAATTTAGGATTCATCACTTCTAAATGACCAGTATTATTGTGGCTTACTAAGAGAGAGAGAAAATATTTTGGGATTTTTTTCATCTTTTTTATTGCCCATGTGAATATTCTTTCTCTTCATACTCCTTTCTACCTTTCTCTTATCAGAAGTCATATATAAATTGATAATAGCCTATGCCCACAGGAGAGAATATATAATGGGGACAATTAATCTTTTCAAAGTTTCAGCCATTATATGATTAGTGGAAGGACTTTAAATAATATCATTGGAATAAATGATATTTTGCCATTTTTGTTTTCTAAAAATGATGTTTGCCATTACCTAGATCTGGAGAAATAGAAGGAAATTTGAAAATAGAGCTGTGATAGTGAAAAGAAGGCTGTGTGATGCACTTGTTGATATCTTTTCTTCTGGCTGGCGATTCCATCTCATTTTTTGTATCCTCTAGGTTGTATTATAAAACAGAGAAGTGTTAATTCATCTGAGATACTATGTCAGGTATAAATCTATGGAAAATAGCATTTTCATTCCAAGTTTGAATATGGATAATACGTACTTTGTTCCACAGGTGTTTCATGCAATCGGCTTGGCCAGCATTCCTGTCTCCGTTGTAAGGTATACTTCTGTATTATTTAATTGTTTCATTTTGTTCTTTTAATTTCTATACTCGGGAGTTCTGGTAGCACAGTGCCTAAGGTACTTGACTGCTAATCAGAAGGCTGGCGGTTCAAACCCACCAGCCACTCCTCAGAAGGAAGATAGGGCAATCTACTTCCGTAGTGATACCGCCTCGGAAACCCAAGGAGGGATCTCTATGAGTCAGGTCCACCTCGATGGCACATAACAGCAACAACAACAACCACATAATGAATCTTTCAAGGGATCTTTAAAATTAGTTAGTTTAATTCTTTTATTTTGGAGATTATAGAAATAAGGTTGAGAACACTTATGTGACTTTCCAAAGGCAATACAGTTGGTTTGTAGTAGAATTGACGTTAGCGCACAGGTCAGCTGAATCTGGTTCAGTGTTTTTTACCCCTTAACATATATGGAGACAATTCTGATCAAAATGGTGGGATGTATTTTAATGTCAAAATAGACCTGCTTAGAATAGTTCAGGTAAAGTGAAGATTTCCGTAATGTTTTATTTCCTTAGACATTGTGTCCTTCATTTCTGCTTATCAGAGATCACTAGACACAGTCAAGTCACCCACTCTCAGAAACATTTCTCTGATTCTTCTGTTACTAACCCTCTCTCTTAATCTCTGCTCCAGTTTAATCAGATGGCTTTAATTTTGCTTAAGGTGTTCATGCTCTCAAGCCTTGAGGCTTTGTATATGTTATTTCCTTTGCCAGTCTCTCTTCTTACATCTTTGCTTACCTTGCTACATCTCTTTTCTCGTTCACTTCTCAGCTAAGATTTCTTTTTTTTTTTTTTAATTGTGATTTGGGTGAAGATTTACAGAGCAAATTCACTTTCCATACAGCAGTTCACATATACTTTATCTCATGTGATTGACCACAGTTTACCACAATGCAACAGCTCCCCTCCCACTTCCTCCCCATAGTTACCTCTTCCCAGTGTCCATCCCTCCATACTTTCCTGCCCCCTGAGCTGTCTCCCTGTGCATAAGCAGCTCTTCTTTCTCCCATGATTGTTCTCTCCAAGGCGTGTGTCTGCTTGAGGTAAATGTTTAACTCACATGCCTGTACTTTGTTTGTCTGGAAACCACAGGTGTGGGTTCAATTCCAGACCTGAAGGGCAGCTAGGGGCCATAGTCTCAGTGGTTCCACCAGGCTCTATTGGATCAGCAAACCTGGTCCCCACCTTTTTTTTTTTGCCTCCAAAACTCAAAATCTTGAGTTTTGTTCCACATTGTTCTCCCTCTCTATTCAGCATCTCCTGCATACATCCCCTTCCAAGTGGATGACAGTGGTAGCCAGGCACCATCTAGTTCTTCTGGTCTCATAGTTGTATAGGTTGCAGATCAGGTGGTGTACCAGTTGCTAGGACTAATTGTTTCCATTAATTTTGGTTTTCTTCTTTCTTCTTTGCTCTTGACGAGAAGAGACCCATCGTTTCAGCTAAGATTTCTTGTCTCTCAAGAAGACTTTCCTGGTTTCCATGTCTTAAGTTAGGTCTCTCCTCTGCCATGGAGTCAATTCTGATTCATAGCAAACTTATAGGTCAGACTAGTATTGCCACATAGGGTTTCCGAGACCGTAAATCTTTATGGAAGCAGATTGCCTCATCTTTCTCCCATGGAGTGGCTGGTAGGTTCAAACCACTGACCTTTTGGTTAGCAGCTGAATGTTTTAACCACTGCACCACCACACTGTTGTGTCTTGTAATTGCCTCTCTACTTGTCTCTGTCCTCAGACTAGTATACTCTGTGTGAGTAGGTAGCCTGCTCACCATTGTATCAAGGACCTCGAATATTCAGTTATTTGTGAAAGAATAAATATGTCTGCAAGTCACATCCTACCTTAGTTACCTAATTCTGCAAGATGGGGGAGGAATAGAAGTTCGTGGCTTTAAAGAACAGAAACTTACTGTGTCAAAATTGTGGATGCTAGAAGTCCAAATCAGGGAATTGGCACTAGTAGAAGGTCCTTGGTGTTTCTCTTGGACAGTTCTTGCATGGTCTTTTCTGCCTGTGTGTCTATGTGTGTCCTTGTCTGTTTTCACCTGATAGTATCTTCTGACATTATTCAGAGGGGATTAGTTAGGACCCACCCTACTCAAGTATGACCCCATTAACCAGAAAACCATTATATCCAAACAGGGTCACACTCACAGGTACAGGGGGTAGGATTTTAACATACTTTTTTTTAAGGGACACAGTTCAATTCTTAATGTAGCTCATATACAGTATGTCTCTGCCTTTGGTTAGGTCATAAGTGGTGTGAAAGACCATCTCACTTAAGACATTGAAAACAGTAGAATTAGGTAGGAGCTAGTCCTAACAAAAATCTCAATCTCTTTATCCTAACAAAACTGCTTAAATTTCCTTAAAATACTGAATGATGTCTTTTTAAATATTTACTATTTTTTTTTTTTTAAAAAAAAGCATATTTTTACCTCTCCTGTATAGGCTTGTTTTTGTGATGAGCATACAAGGAGCAAAGTGTTTAAGCAAGAAAAAGGAAAACAGCCTCCCTGCCCTAAATGTGGACATGAAACTCAGGAGACAAAAGATCTCAGCATGTCAAGTAAGTGTCTTAAAAATACCACTGCAGTGATTTTGCTTCATATGTAGACAAGGTTTCCTTTTGCCTCCTCTTCCTATTTGGAAAGATAATTAGGTTCTGTGGAGTAAGTGGAATTTATAGCCTTGGAAAACACCTGGGTAAAAGTTCTTGATTTGACTTAAATATTTTGTACTTACTTTGATATTTGGCTTCAGTTAATAAAAACATAATGAATACTGAAATTTAAGCCAAAAACAGTGATTTTTCATTTTTGCAGATGCTCGCATGTTAAATAATTGAGTAGCTAAAATCTTTAATATTCAACTCTTGTTAATCTTTCAAACACCAAAACCAAACTCACTACCATTGTGTCGATTCTAACTCATAGCGACCCCCATTGGGTTTCTAGTTTATGGAAATAGATTGCCCATCTTCCTTCTGTGGAGCACCTGGTGGATTTGAACCACTGACCTTCTGGTTAGCAGGCAAGTGCCTTATCCACTGATGCCACCAGAGCTCCTTGTTGTCAACCTTTATACTCACACACTCACTGCCATCGAGTCAATTCCAACTCATAGTGGAACTCTTTGGTTTTCTGATGCAGTATCTCTATGGAAATAGATTGCCCGGTCTTCCTTCTGATGAACGGCTGGTGAGTTTGAACCGCCAGCCTTCTGGTTAGCAGTCAGATGCCATAGGCACTATGCCACCAGAGCTCCTTGTTAATCTTTAGTACTTAGTATTTAGAGATTAGAATTCATTCTGACACTATTCTTTTTTTTTTTTT